AGTGCAACAATGAATGAGTGGAAGCCCAAAATCTCTGTAAATGTTTATGAAAATTAATAAAATATAATAAAAAAAAAAGAAAATGTCCTAGTTTGCATCAGGTATACCTCATTCTTTACACTGAATTCATTACACATTAACTCTTTGGAGAGAAGTGAAGGACTCAACAGAATTGATTCAACAAGCAGTGGGTAATGGTAATAGCTATAGACAAGTTTAGAAACTGTATCAAGGTCACAGAGCTGATAACTAGATGGAATGGGGATTAGAATCGAGGTCTATCTGACTCCAGAGCTTGCCCTCATAACCGCTCCATGAAAGTCCTTCCCAAGTTCCTTTGGAAGAGTTTCAAGGTGTCACATCCAAGAAGATTTATCTGGCCAAGTGCCACAAGCTTTGTCAGAACAATGGATGTTTCTTTTTAATGTTTTTATTTTTCAAACAAATTTGATCTTCTACAAAGATGAAAGGGACACCAAAAATGTGCCTGAAACTGCCTTCTCCATATGCAGTGGGCACACAGGAAACACTATTCCCATATCTTGACAGTTGGTTGGAAAGAAATTACATATAACAGCCTTGAAGACAGAGTCTCAAAACTCAAACTCATTGCATCCATTCTGACTCATGCAGACTTTCTTTCAATTTTCTGAGGCTCTAAATCTTAACAGGAGAAATCTACCCAACTTTCTTCTGCAGACCCACGGTGGATTCACAGCCTTTTGGTCAACAGTGGTTAACCTTACGACTGTTGTTGTGACATGCTGTTGACTGAAATTCATAGTGACTCGATGAACAATGAATCAGAACTCTGTTCTATCCTTTGACACCCTCACCAACTCTGACATCCTTGCACCCACGGGTACAGTCACAGTGTCATACTATCTTGTTCTTCTTCTCTTTTGCTGACCCTCTACCTTTCTAAGCGTGATATCCTTCCCCAAGGACTGGCACCTTCTAACAACATGCCCAAAGCATGTGAGACAGCCATCTTTGCCTCCAGAGAGCACGCTGGTTTCACTTTCTCCAAGACATATTTGTTTATTCACTTGGCATTCCATGTTCAGTACTCTTCTCCAATACCACAACTCAAAGACATCAGTTCTTTTGTTATCCATTGTTAGTATCTAACTTTCAGATGCATAATAAAGAACTGAGAAGACCATGGCTTGGATCTGGTACACCTTAGTCTTTAGGCTGACATCATTGTTCTTCAGCACTTTGGAGGGGCCCCTCACAGCAGATTTTCCCAATGCATTAAGTCTTTTACTTTCTCGACTGCTGATACCAAGGGGTTTGGTTGTGGATTCGAGTGAGATGAAATTATTGACAACTTTCGCTTCTTGCTCCATCTGTCATGATGTTACCTATTGGTCTGGAGGTAAGGATTCCTGTTTTCTTGATGTTGACATGTAATCCATATGGATGGCTGTAGTCTCTGATCTTCTGCAGTAAGTGCTCCAAGCCCTCTTTGCATTCAGCAAGCAAGGTTGTGTCATTGGCATAATGCAGGTTGTTCCTTCCATAATAAGAGAGGCTTCTGCAGAACCTGATGTCACATATTTCTCCATAAAGTAGTTTCTTAAATTATTTGTTCAGCATATAGATCGAATAAGTATACAGAAAAGATGCAGCCCTGGTACACACCTTTCTTGATTTTAAACCATGCAGTATTTTCTAGCTGTTTGGACAACAGCTTCTTGGTCTAGGTAAAGGTTTTGTATAAGTATAATTAAGTATTCTGGAATTCTGGAATTCCCATTATTCTCAATGTTAGCCATAATTTATCATGATCCACACAGTCAAATGCTTTTGCATAGTCAATACAACAGACATTGTTCTGGTATTTAACAGCATAGGACTCGTAGCAACGTAATGAACAACAGATTGGAGTCTTGTCCTATGCTGCGTCATTGTCATAATCTCTGCAAGCCTACTTTTTCACTCACTGTGTCTAATTGCGTATTTCTCTCTTCCACTGACCCTGGTATTTTTCCTAATGTGTGTTTTTTTCAAGGACTGACCGGCACTTTCTGACAACATATCACTCTCAAAATTGCCATTTTTCTCCGTCTCAACATTCAAACCCAAGCTAGCTTCCATCACCACCAGGTAATTGGTGGGGGTTTGAAACTCAGAGCTGAGAATAATTAACACTGTAAATCATTACTACTTGAACTTTCTATGGTTCCAAAATTTAAAGGTTTCAACCATCCTCTAAAAGCATTCACTACTCACCCCACTTTATTTCCTAAACCGCGCGCCCAATTCCTCCATGCTACCCCAGCGAGCTCCCCAGGGTCCCCCTTCCCAAGGCCCCGCCCCCGACGCTTGCCCGCCTTCGCGCCTCGCACCTCGGCCCCGCCCACCCACGAGCTCCGGTCACAGGCCCCGCCCCATCCCTCAGGCCCCGCCCCCTGCCGGTGGCCCTCTGCGGGAGGCTCGGCTTGCGTGACCGCTCGCGCCGCACGCACGCCGCTCGACACCCGAGGCTGCCCCCGGGCGGAGGCGCAGCAGCGGCGCCTGCGCTCGGGCTGCTCCGACAGGTCCCAGAATCCGGCTTTGCGACGCAGCGGCCCGAGGCCTCGGCGGAAGCCGCGCCGCCGCCCCCCCCGCGAGGTAGGGCCCCCCCGGAGGATGTGCAGGCGGGGCTGAGGGCCCGGTCGCGGGAGGCCTCGCGAGACAGGCGAGGGCGGCGGGCGGGCGGCCAGTGGATGCTGGTGGGATCCACCGGGAGGCCGCGCCCCGGGACGGGTAGCTGGGCAAGCCTGGGGCAGCTCCGTCCTTTAATTTATTAGTGTCCCAGCGCCTCGGGGAAATGTTTGGGGCCTGAACTAGCGGTTCCGGACGCTGACCGGTGCTGTGCGGCCCACGTGCGCCATCGCGCCCACACCTCCCGGCGCCGAAAAGCGCGGGCGACCCTCTTTTCCTTGTTTGGGGTCCACTTGTTCAGCCCGAGTGTTTTTTCTTGTCCCTTCGCTGTGGCGGGCGCCGAGGTGAGCAGGCGGGAGCCGCATCCGATTGCTTCCCCGAAATCCGGGCTGAGTAGGAGGGGAGGGGTCAGGAGCGTGACAGCTGGGCGCCGCCTCCTGGACACTGCCCGCCCGCGGCCCCGGTGACAGGGAGGCTCTGAGTCCGCGGGGGCGGAGTGGAGAGCGCAGCCACCTGCACAGATGGCGCGCTGGTCCTTATCTCCCGAAAGGCCGATGGGAGGGACCCGCGAGCCGTAGGTGGACCCCGCCTGTTTGTTTCCTAGTTGGACTCCGTCCTTGGAGAAGATGGATGAGGACAAGCAGCGGGCGCCGAGCCTGTTTGCGGACGGACACCTGGTCCTGTGGACGCTGTGCTCGGTGCTGCTGCCCGTCTTCATCACCTTCTGGTGTAGCCTGCAGCGGTCACGCCGGCAGCTGCACCGCAGGGACATCTTCCGCAAGAGCAAGCACGGGTGGCGGGACACCGACCTGTTCAGCCAGCCCACCTACTGCTGTGTGTGCGCGCAGCACATCCTGCAGGGCGCCTTCTGCGACTGCTGCGGGCTGCGCGTGGACGAGGGCTGCCTCAAGAAGGCCGACAAGCGCTTCCAGTGCAAGGAGATCATGCTCAAGAACGACAGCAAGGCCCCCGACGCCATGCCCCACCACTGGATCCGGGGCAACGTCCCTCTGTGCAGTTACTGTGTGGTGTGCAAGCAGCAGTGCGGCAGTCAGCCCAAACTCTGCGATTACAGGTAAGGACCGGCCTTTGGAGGAACAGCTTGTCCCAGGATGCCAATGAGGTCAGGATCCCACAGAGCGGGCACACGGGCCTGAACTGACCTCTGTGGTCACATGCAGATGATCCTCACCTCCCTGCTCTGGTGCAGGCACTGGTGCACGGAGAGCCTTTGCTAATAGTCACTTACAGAGCCAACCTGCTTCACTGGGTAGTGAAACTTGGCTCTTCCTTCACGTCAGTGAAGTGCTGTGTGCTTTCACGGTCACTGTGTGCGCACTTTTGTTGTTGTATTTTACGTGGAGGAAAGGAGGTCTGGAAATAATTAGCTTTTCCATCTTTCCGTCAGAGTTGATCCATCCTTGGTGATGTACTGTGAGTGTACGATGAAAATCATCATCCTTCCAAAACAGCACTTGGAGCATCTTTTCCTAGTATAGATATCGGGGTTGGAGTGAAATATTCTTAAGTAACTATTCCTTTGGCCTTGCAGCACTTGCACCCTCCTTAGACCAGTGTCTGGTGTTGATAATTAATAACCTTGTTGGAACCAAGATTATGTTTTAATGACTTTACGAATACATAATGGTCAAACATGCATGTTACACTGTCTGAAAATAGGCGAAAGTGTCCTTTGTTGAAGACAAAGATTGATAGAAGGGGCTGTTGCTCTGTAGATCAAGTGATTCCAACTCATTTTATTGATGGAATGATTAAACCTCAGAGGGCTTCTCAGTGGTAAAATCAGACTACCCTCCTGAAATTCTCATTCCCAAGACAGGCCCAAAAGTACCATAACCCTCAGCTGCCAGTTAGGCTCACCACCCTCCCCTTCGGGCCCTTATCTTTGAAGTTTTCTGACAAGTATTGAGGCCCCAGGAACTGAACTAGGAAGCTGGCACTAGATTGCAAGTTAATAATTTTTTTATCAATTTTTTGCAGAAAGCATTTTTATTAGCCTAGGCAACGTTATACCAATATCTTAATTTAAATGTAATTTAATTTAAATGTAGTATATTATCAAATTTTAAAACTTAACATTTTTAAAATAGTGGATTTTTAAAAACCACAGAAATATGTAATCCTTTTTACTCTGCATTTTCAAAACTTAGACTGTTGTTTTGGCGTCAGTGAGAGCTAGACTGCTTGTATTCCATACCTTTCTTTGAGTGTTAGTCTTTGAGAATTGACTCCTTGGAAAGATATTGTTAAGTCTCTTTCCTCCTTTGTGTCTTTGTAGAATCAAAAATTGATTTCCTAATTTCCTTTTTACTTTACGTTGTGCTTTCTAGGTGAAAGTTTACAGAGTAAATTGGTTTTCCTTTTTTTTTTTTTTTAATTAATGTATGTTTACAGAGACTTTGGACTTCCATTCATTCATTGTTGCACTTTTCTCCCTGCCCACCCCTCCCCCAGTAAATTAGTTTTCATTGCACATATTGATTTGTGGCACTGATTACAGTTCCCACAATGCTGCCTTCCTTTGTTTACCGTTTCCAGTCATCCTCCTTCCCCAACCTTTCCTGCCCCTTAGCTTTATTCCTGGGCACATCCTGCCCTTTTGATCTCATAGGATTGGTTGCTCTAAAGTACGAATTCCTCACTAGTGCTACTGTTCACTTTACAAGCTTGTTGTTTGTCTGAAAATTGAGCTGTGGGTGGGATGTATTTATAACAAATAACTAATATGAATGTAGAAATACCACCCACCAGACTTGTGTATTGTCCTGGGCATAGTCATTTGTCCTGTCCATAGCTGTTTATCTTGCCTGTCTGCTTGTATGTCTGCATTTACTATTGCTGTTGCAGGATTACATGTATAATAGTATTGACTTTTACTGACTTTGTGTGTGTGTGTACTTGTCTTTCCTTAGTGATTTTGTGCCAGTCATCCCTGTATTGTCTTTGCCCTTCCCTTCATTGATCTTAATATTGTTCCTGTTATTTATTTACTTATTTTTACCACTCTCCCACTCCCTTCCCCATCCCTGGTAACTACCTAAGAATGATTCTTTATGTAAACATTTTTTAAGCTTTATTAAGATAGTGAACTCATTAATTTTTGTCTTTTTGTGACTAATTTACTTCACACAGCTCTATATTCATCCATGTTACATGGTGGTGTGCAAATTCTTTCTCATTCTTTACTGTTGCATAATAGTCCAGTGTGAATATGTACCGTAGCGACTTTTAACCATCATTTTGGGTGTTTCCATCTCTGCTGTTGTGAATAATGCTGCAGTGAATATGAGTGTGCACATACTTACATGTGTTTCAACTCTTCTTTTTTTACAATCTATACTTAATAGTGGGATTGCTGTATCAAAGGAAATGAGATTTCTTATTTCCAACTTTCTAAGGAAGCCCAGACTGCCTTCTGTAGTGGTTGCACCACTTTATAGTCCTTTGGGGACTCTGTAGAGAGTTTTGGTGTTTCCTAAAAGGCAATGTTTGAATCCACCATCGGCTCCTTATGAGAAAGATGAACAGTCTCATCCTGTAATTTCCAATTTACAGCCTGATAAACCAGTTGTGAGTCAGTTCCCACTCAATGGTTTTAATTTGACCAGCAGTGTATGAGCGTTCCAGTCGTTGGACACCCTCCCCAGCATTTGTTTACTGTCTAAGGAAGCACTAAACAGCTTTCCGTGGTGATTGTACCTTTTTACATTCCCACCAGTAGTATCTGAGGGTTCCAACTTCTCCATACCCTCGCCAGCATTTGCTTACAGTCCTGTTGAACTTTGTTGTTGTTGCTAGAGTGAAATACCTCATTGTTTTGATGTGCATCACTTGGCTCGTAATATTGAGCATTTCTTCATGCACTAGTTGGCCATCTGAATGTCATCTTTGGTAAAGTGTCTTTTCATGACTTTCTCCATTTTTTAATCGGCTTGTTTCTTTCTTGTTGAGGTGTTGGAGTTTTTCATAAATCATGTGTCTTTGATCTCCTTTAAAAATGGTTTGCTTAATTATCTTAATAAATAATCATTATGTTTCTGATTCTCCACCCCAGTGTTCTTTCTCAGATTATAAAACAGACTCAGTTGTTGTTGTGTGTAAAGCTTTTCCTTTGCTCCCTGTCACTTACACTGGTGGTCGTACTGGGGAAACTCCAAGTGCTTACCATGGCCTGCAAGCTCTCTGTGCTACTTGCGTACCAAATCTAAGCTCAATCTCCGTACATTAAACTTTATGCACCAGTGATACCAGAACGGTTCCTAAAAACATTGAGCTTTGTTTTATTGCCTTTTTTCCTCATGACTGTCTATTTCAAGTAGACTTCTTGCTTAGTGTGTTGTTGTTGTTGTTGTTAGGCACCATCGAGTCGAGTATGACCCTGCCCTGCCCTGTGCCACCCTCATCATCTCTGACCTGCTTGAGCCCATTGTTGTCACCGTGTCAGTCCGTCCAAGGATTTTCCTTCATTCACAGACCCTCCATCTTTCCAAGCATAATGTATCTTTCTAAGGAATAACCTCAGTTAACAACGCGTCCAAAGTATGAGAAACTGAGCTTCACCATTTTGCCCCCACAGAACACTCTGGCTTTCCTCAAAACATAGCTGTTTGTTGTTCTAGCAGTCTATGGGATATTCAGTATTTTTCTCCAGCACCACAACTCAAAGGCATCCTTATTCGTTGTCCAGCTCGCTAATGCATAGCAGGTGATTGAAAAGGCCATGGCCTGAATCAGGCACACCTTAGCCTTCAAACTGACATCATTGCTCCTCAGCATTTTAGAGAGGTCCCTGAGAGCCGGCTTGTCCAGTGCAATACATCTCTTGATTTTCTGACTGGTGGTACCAAGGATATTGATTGTTGATCCAAGCAAGATGAAATCATTGACAGCTTCAATTCCTTCTCCATCTATCATGTTGTTGACTGTTGGTCAAGTGGTTTGAGGTTTGTTTACCTTGAGATGTAATCTGTACCAAAGGCTGTAGTTTTTTTATCTTCAACAAGTGTTTCAAGTCCTCCTCACTTTCCACAAGCAAAGTTGTGTCATCTGCATAACACAGGTTGTTAATGAGTTTTCCTCTGATCTTGATGCCTCTTCATAGAGCCCAGTTTCATTAATAATGTGTTCAGCATATGAATTGAGTAGGTATGGAGAAAGGAGGGCCCTCTTGTATCCTTTCCTTGAGAAAACCTTTTTTTCTTCTTGATGATGTCATAACACACCAGTAGCGTCGGCTTCATGTGGAAGCTTAACAGAAATAGAGATTCTGTAGAAAGACAATTATATTTGAATTTAAAATAAGCACAAATAGATTTTTACTATAAATAAAACTCAAGAGTCCCTGCCATCGGGTTGGTTCTGATTTGAGGCCATAGGGTTTCCAAAGCTGTGAATTAAAAGGGGAAGAGCCTACCCCAAGTTTCTTCCTCAGAGCTCCTGATGGATACAGACTGCTGGGGACACTCAGCCTTCGGGCTAGCAGCACGGCCCTCTACTGACAGGCCACCAGACTGCCTTAGGATAAATACACCCCATTAAAGTTCAGGGACCTATTTATAACAACATTATTTGGGTTTTCCCTCTAAAACTCAGATTTGAGAATGCTCTGTTTTTTCAGACAACCCTATCCCTACCGTAGACTCACCGTGTCAGAAATCTGGACAAGGAATAGCATTCTGTTCCCTGACAGACCCCATAGCTATCCTAATGTTGGGGAAGCACAACTGTATCTGTGATTATATCCTTCTTGCCTTTTTAAAACACACATTTTACATTTATGTCCTCAATTATGTGTCCTCTTGATTGAGTACAGTGAATGTGTGTTGATGGATCTGCTTTTCCTCGTTATCTTGTTCTTACAGGTTACTGAGCAGTCTGTTCTCTGTACCCCACCCACCTCTCAGGGAAGGAGTTAGCAGCATAATTTAGGAAGTGTTTAGGAGAAGAGAGCAGAGTGTCCTCAAGTTGTACATATTCTGCTATGCTCTGAGCCGATTTATTTTAGCCTGTAATTTTATGTAAGACTGCAGTCTTCTATGACCTTTTGTAGGAGTG